CATTTTTAATTAGTGTTTTTTATTTTAATTATCTATATTAAATCAACTATCAACACTTGGTTATTATGTTAAATTAATTATTTATATTCTATTATATTTTGCTTTACGAGTATACAAAAATTATATAAATATATATATATATATATATATATATATATATATATATATATATATATATATATATATATATATATATATATATATATATATATATAAAATTCAAAGTTTAAAGTTTTAAATTGAGGTAGTCTGAAATAATTTACTGCCATAATTTTCCAGATGTGATTTATGATTCTGAAGTGCAGTGAACATGAACACATGAACATGAACACATGAACACATGAACATGAACACATGAACTTTATTTGGTTTCTGGTGTTGAACGGGTTTTTGTTTCATGTTAACTATTTTCAGTCACTTTGTTTAAATGAACAAATGTTGAAGTTTTTCACAGATTATTAATTTTAGCGACACATTAATGATCAATATGAAAACATGATTGTTTTTATTTATATTTTGACCAGTGTTTTTGACTTGCAAAGAATACATTTAGTGTTTTTTATTATTATTATTTATTAAAACATAAACCGGTTTGTGTCTAAGTTTTTTAATAAAATAACCTGCGCGTGCTCAGAGGCCGCGGAGATGCCGTGCAGGCTGAGCCTCTCATTAAAGCTCCTGATTGGATAACACGCAATCACCGTGCACCTGAGTCTGACCCCCCACTGTTCATTTAGCTGCTGGGGGGTCTCCCTGTGTAAAAGTTAACCTCCAATATGTGCCTGATTTGAATGAAGCGGAGGATGCAGGTGAGGAGAACTGGAGGGGAATGCTGCGCAGCACGGCTGCACGCAGATTCCTGAATTATCATAAGCAAACAGCGCGCGCGCGGACTAATAAAGAGCCATCTGTGTAACTTCATATCGAGCTGTGAGGGGGGCGATAATGAATTTTGTAATATCCCACCGACAGACATCTCAATCACACCCTAATCCCGTGATTTTACCACCGAGTCACTGCTGCACATCAGCAGCGGCCGCGCGCACGAGCCGGCGCAGGCTCAACGCGGACCAACATGAAGGTGCAAGAATTGAAGAAGGAAACGAGACCACACCGAGAGGTGCACATGCATGAGATGTTTCCTCCACTCAGAGGAAGAGACGCAGTAAAGACGCACAGCGGCGTCTTCCTCCCTCCGAGACATCAATCTGAAAACGTCTCCACGAAGCAGCGACACATTCCTGCGTTTTCAAATAAATCTGCAGCAACACCGTCTGTCTCATGTCTGCCCACTGAACATTCATGACTGACACTTTGTTCTGTGTCTTCCTCTCCAGAATCACAGGCCTGACCCTGTCAGCATGGAGCCCCACTGCCGCAAACTGGCCAACACGTGCGCGCAAATAGGTAGGAGCCATCACGCACGCACGCACAGCCACCCGCTTTTATAAAACACAAAACAGCGTTTCATAAAAAACAGAACAAAATCAACGTTTTATTAAAAACAAGAACAAAAAGAGCTCTTTAACAGACAAAAAAAAAACATTTTATTAAAAAAAACAATAAACGTTTTATAAAATCAAGAACAAAAACAACATTTTATAAAAACAAAAACAAAACCGCATTTTACAAAAAAAAGGAATAAGCCAATGTTTTACAAAAACGAGGACATAAACAGCATTTTTAAACAGAACAAAAAAAGCTCTTTAAAACAAACAAACAAACAAAACTGCATTTTAAAAGGAAACAAGAACAAAAACATATTTTAAACAAACTAGAATAAAAACAAGGTTTTATAAAAACAAGAACAAAAACATATTTTTAAACAAACTAGAATAAAAACAATGTTTTATGAAAACAAGAACAAAAACATATTTTTAAACAAACTAGAATAAAAACAATGTTTTATAAAAACAAGAACAAAAACATATTTTTTAAACAAGAACAAAAAAAGCTCTTTAAAAACAAACAAATAGTAAACAAAAGAACAGCATTAAAAAAACAAGAACAAAAACAGTGTTTTATAAAAAAAACTGAAACAACATTTTATATTCAGACGTGTGTTTAAAAATACTTTTTTACCTTTTAAAAATTGGATTATAATTAGTTTTAAGATGCTTTTGCAAATATAATTTATATAAAACAACATGTTCTTCATACTACAAACAGAATAAAACAAAAAATGTTTTTATTTGTTCCATTTGTTCTTGTTTTATTTTTACATTCCACTGTTTTATTGGGTTAATTAGTCGCGTCCCTGATCACCCAAAGCAGCAGAAGCGTTGAGGAACTAGCGGAGCAGGAACCACCGTTTATTTGAAAGTAATTTGTAAAGCAAATATGTTCTTGTTTTTTGTATTTTACCTTGTATTACGGCATCCTGATTTATTGTTTTATAACACTACTTTTATTTTAACTGCATTTTTACTGTAGTTTATTGTTGTTGTTGTTTATTGGTATTGTTGTCTGTACTTTATATGTTCTGTCTGGATCAGTTCTCTTGTAAATGAGTCCATTGCCACTGGCTCAATGACACTAGCCTCTATAAATAAAGGTTGAATGATGGTTTTTATTTCCAAAAGGCTAATTGTTACAAAAGCAAAATCATAATTTTGTAAACTTTTTCTCAAATTTTATTGCAAAATTTTAAAATGTTGTCTAAAACAATGTCATGCTGCATAAAATAATACGATTAATTAAAGTAGTTGGGTTAGAGGCAAAACAAATTAAAGCAGCTGCTCCTTTAAATTGATGGATCTTTATATTAAAGAAGGAGCTCAACAGTTTAAGGCTCTTTACTTAAATTCAGTAAAATCATTTAATCAAATCAGTGGAATTTATTACTAAAAGTATATATTTTTGACCATTCTCACAGTTTAGCTGTCATCATTTCATTCAGACTGAACTTTTCAGTTTGATGATGAAAGAAAAGCTGCAGTGCTGGAACTCCATTGCGTCACTTCCTCTCATGTGGAAGCTCCGTGGAGTTTGAGCGCAGTCTTTGTGCGCCCCCTGGTGGTGCGCTGAGCTCCTGCAGGCCGCGCTCCGCAGTCATTAATCTAAAACTGGTTTATTCAACAATTCACGGCTGATTTGATCCATTCACATAAATAATGATCAAATTTATATTTTCAGAGAAGAAGAAAAAAACAACAAAACATCGTAAATTCAGTGAATTATTCTTCAACGTGAGGAGGAGCTCAGGTGTTTTAAAGTGACATAAACGAACAAACAATAACTTCCATTTTCTCCTGCTTAGTTCCCGCTAATGCATCTTTGGGTAAGAACGAGGAGCTACTGATAATAAAAAAATAATTAAAATAAATTAAAACTACCTGCAAAACATGACTCGCGCGTGCTCATGCGCAGCTGGGTAAAATGTGCAGCGCTCTGGGAAAACGAAATGTTTAATGAAAGCCCATGCGTGAGGAGGAATACACTAATGGAGGAATGTGATGTCTCCCTTAATCCTAAGTAAAAAGCCTTGTCGTGTCCCGCTGTATTGACTGAATTGTTAATTAATGGCCCTCGATGGCGGAGGCGGGTTGCTCCAAGTAATCCGCGCGAGAGATGAAGCATTCAGATGAAGAGGAAACCGATAATCCACTTCAAGTTTAGTATTACAACATGGCTGGAGGGGGGACAGCGAGCTACAAGACGATTATTATTATTATTTAATTATTATTATTTAATTATTATTATTTAATAATTTAATTATTATTAAAGGTGCGCTGCTTTTGTTGACATCAGTGAACGCTTCTGACTCGTGGTCATCATTCCTATATAAATCTGCTCCTATTGATTTATCAGGTAAATGCGCTGCGTGAGTGGTGATGGCTGTGTGTGCGTGCGTGTATGTATGTGTGTGTGTGTGTGGGGGGGGGGGGGGGGGGCACAGCCAGTGATCTGCTGGTATTTATATGAGAGGGGGTTTCACGCGGGATTAATGAGGAAACTTCTCAACTGCTCCAAATCCAAACGCGCGGGTCTGAGAGTGCGTCCTCCCGTCCACGTGCTCTGCTAATGATGATGATGATGATCGGCTTCATCACTCCAGTCACCTGTGACCCTGCTCTCCGTGTGCCACTCCTCTCACTCTGATTGTTAAAGTAATATATTTGTAAAAGTTAATTTTGAATGCGTCAGACCTTCTGGAGACTTCGAGATTTAAAGGAATCTTGTGAGAACCGAGACACGTCGGGAGTTCTCCCTGACAACCATCAGCAGCAAAGTGAGGAGAAACCCTGTCAAGCGTCCAGATAAAGTCCTCAGCTGAGCGCGTGCGCGCCGCTGCTGTCCATCTGATGAATGTGGAGCGGAACACAGCAGGGCGGGACGACCCGCTCACTTTGTGTTTTTTAATCTTCTCTTTACTTTTGTCACTTCGTTCCGCACCATCATGCTCATGCACGCACGTGTTCGCGCCTCAGGCGGCGCGTGCGCTCTCATACATAATGTGCCCTGCCCTGCCTGTCCAGCTGTTAGCGTCAGTGCGCTCGGACAGTTGTGGCGCGCGCGGCGTCCTGTTCGGTCCTCGCGGTGTCTTTGATGTTCAGTTGTGTTCGGGTCCGGCTCCCTCCGAGTCCCGCAGTGACCTGCAGCTCAGCCCGGGACACTGGACCCGCCTCATCAAATCAAGCCAAACTGCCTACTTTCATTTTGATTTGGTCCTGGGCAGCCGCGCGTGTGCGCCGCGCGTCCACATCTGTTTCCATGCTTTGATTTGGAAAAGACGCGTCAGCCGCGCTGACAGAGAAGCTCGGGTTGGTTGGACAGCTCGTCATGTCCACATGGACGCGCCTGTCAGGGAGAATATGGGCGGGCGCAAAGTGGTGACGTGGAGCTCTGGAGAGAGGCGCATGCTGGATGGAGCAGCGCGCAGTGAGCAGTGAGCGGCGGAGTGCGTGTGAGCCTCTGGATCTAATATCACTACCTGTCCGTGTCACTGTGGCAGTCAGGTGGCCGCAGTCCTCCACTGATGCTGTGACTGAACTCAATGGCCTGTTTTAAAGCGTTCTCCAGTTTAAAGAGACACATCTGGACCGCAGGGGAACCGAGCCGCTGCGCGCGCTTTGGACAGCTGGGCACATTCCGGAGTCGGACTTTCCGCTTTCTGCTCTGAAAGCTCGTGCGATCTGTTCCCCATGAGCTCCATGAGGGATCCACTGAACATAGACCACCACCTCACGGGGAATAAACTCGCCTCCACGCAGCACGCGGCTCTGGCCATGGCGTCCACTCTGCAGCCTCTGCCGCGCGCAGGGGACTCCAAACACCGGCTGGAGGTGCACACCGTGTCCGACACGTCCAGTCCCGAGTCTGGGGGTAAGAAGCGGGTCCAGATGTTCCGTGCGTGTCTCTATATCTCACAATAGATGGTTCTGCTCAGTCTACGCGAGGGGGCTTCACGCGCACGCAGTCCTCAGCCGCATTACTCGACTCTGTTGTCAGAACTTGTGCACTGAAGGCGCCGAAGCTAAAACAAGGCAGACTTTTTATTTAAACTATTTCATTTTATTAAAGGCCTTAAATAATTCGAATTAAAAGTCGCAACCTTGTGTTTGTATTAAACATATTTATTGTGTTCACATCGCGCACGACCTGCCGGGTTTTATTTTAACCTTCTCTTTCTTGCCTCCAGAAAAGGAGAAGATCCAGAACAAGAACGACGACTCGTCGGACGACCCGTCCAAGAAGAAGCGTCAGCGGCGGCAGAGGACGCACTTCACCAGCCAGCAGCTGCAGGAGCTGGAGGCCACCTTCCAGAGGAACCGCTACCCCGACATGAGCACCAGGGAGGAGATCGCCGTGTGGACCAACCTCACGGAGGCCCGAGTCAGGGTGAGTCCTGTCCTGCGTGGAGCTAACTTCAGATTACACGGAAATATATTTATTCCAACCGTTTAACAGCGCGCGCAGTAAGAAACGGAATTACGCAAAACGGCTCCATAAAATGTAAAAGAAAAAAGTTTTTAGCTAAAAGAAAAATTATCTCACACTTTCAAAATTATATTTTGTTAAAATTAACTTTATTAAACTATATTGTAAATGTACATATTTTTAGGATCAATATAAATAAATTAAAACCAAGTTGTAGATTTAGTTTATTATTTTCCAAACTGTCGTAATTTATCCTGATGCATGCTCAATAATTCAGGTAGAAAAATCCAAAAAAGTTCAATCTGGTCCTCTGGACATTCAAAAAAATTAATTTTATTTATAAATAATAAGGCGAATAAATTAATAATTTCATTCATTTAATTTAATTATTGTACAACAAATAACGTAGCGCTTTAAACCCTTTTAAAATAATTTAAAGCCTCTTGTGAATTTTTAAATAAAGCCGCATTATATAAATAAATATTGAAGGAGTGTAATAAAAGCGTGCTGAGCCTGCGCGCACGGGTCGTGACAGATACCAGTCGTGTTCTCGTGTCCGTGTGAAAGAGGTGCAAAGCTCCTTTTGTGCTGCGGTCGCGCGGCCGACGTGTGATTGGTCTCGGGGTGTTTGTGGAAGCAGAATACACATCCTCTCACGCGCAGTGTGTATTCTGCTCGCGGATTAGACGCGGGTTGTCTGTTCAGAAACAGCTCAAAGGTTTTCTCTAATTTAACCATAAATGTACAGATACGGTGCCTAAACAAAAGGAAAGAAGCCTGGATGTAACATGTAAATGACGTCATGAATGAGTGTATACATGTTTGTGTCGCGCTCCAGGTTTGGTTCAAGAACCGACGCGCCAAGTGGAGGAAGCGGGAGCGGAACCAGCAAGCGGAGCTGTGTAAAAACGGCTTCGGGCCGCAGTTCAACGGACTCATGCAGCCCTACGACGACATGTACCCGAGCTACACGTACAACAACTGGGCCGCCAAGGGCCTCACGTCCGCCTCCCTGTCCACCAAGAGCTTCCCGTTCTTCAACTCCATGAATGTGAACCCCCTGTCCTCGCAGACCATGTTCTCACCCCCCAACTCCATCTCCTCCATGACGTCCAGCATGGTTCCGACGGCCGTGCCGGGCTCCAGCCTCAACAGCCTCAACAACTTGAACAACCTCAGTAACCCTTCTCTCAACTCGGGGGTGCCCACGTCCGCGTGCCCCTACGCGCCCCCGACCCCTCCCTACGTGTACAGAGACACTTGTAACTCCAGCCTGGCCAGCCTCAGACTCAAAGCCAAGCAGCACTCGAGCTTTGGATACGCCGGCGTGCAGAACCCTGCCACCAATCTGAGCGCGTGCCAGTACGCGGTGGACCGACCCGTGTAATACCTGCACTGCAAAAAATACCCACCGTGGCGACATGTTCCTCTGGGGGGGTGGGGGGGCAGGCAGGTGCAAGGTTCAGTTTCTGGCGACACAGCGTGGATTGTAAAACTCCGATTTCTCCTCCAGACATTGGAGCCACAAATATTCCAGATTATATTAAAGATCATCCGATCGATCCCTCTGCTTCATCGGCGCGTGAGTTTCTTTCTGTCATGAGGCTGCTGGTGGTGATTTTTTGCAGTGAAGCCAGAGACTGCTGCAGCTAATGTCGTTTTTTAAAGACTGAACACTGAAACTAAGTTTTTATTTCACCTGACTGTCCTGAGCACTGCGTGACGTGACGTGACGTGACGTGATGAGGGTCTGAGTGTGCAGAAGATCACCCTGACTGTTCTCCACTCGTTTTATTTTTCTTCTCGACGCATGTGGAAAAAAAAGAATCAACCTAAAAGGAATCATGTTTTGCTTGCAAACAAAAAAAAGGGAATGTAAATATTTAAACGCACTATTTGTGTGTTTCTAACATATTATAAATTTATTATTAATGTCTGTGTGGATATCGATTTAGAATAGCAACCCTGGATTTAAAATAATAATAATAATAATAATAATATTCATAGGCATCCAAAAAATGTTCCTAGGAGAAAAAAAAAAAGTTTTTTGCTCTGTGTATAATATTTGGTACGGAATTGTTTTTTTTGTTTTTTTTGCAACATCCCAAAAATAATGTGTTTAATTTAATGGAAGTAAATATATTGTTCCAAAGCTGTGGTGGAGGACTTTTATTGAATGTTTGTGCACGGAGTGTGTTCGTGGAGATCAGCTAATCTATAGAGACGACTGGATCCACTGAGCCTGCACAGCAAACTGCAGCTTATTAAGAGGAGCACACACACAGCTGCTGATCTCTGCTGCTGATCTCTGCTGCTGATCTGCTGCTGCAAAAAAACCTAAACTTTTCATCTTTTCATTTTGCTTCAGTAAAGCTGCTCTTTTGTTGCACGCTTTCACTGAGCGACGTGCACAATCACACCGTGACACCGAGCTTCAGCAAACAGTGGAGGTATGAGGGGGCCGCAGCTGGAGGGGGGGGGGGGGGGGGGGGGGTCATAACTAATCAATTAATAAAGAAACGGAAGTAAATAATCTGCAGTTTTCAGTTTCAGGGTCCATAAAATAAAAAACATTAATTGTCCTGATGATTGGAGGCGTTGGGCTGATTGATGTGACGTCATCTCGTGATTCTTTTACAATAACAAACACCCGTGGGTTCACGCGCACCGAGCGGCTCCTTCCAGCTTCTCCTGGAGCTGCAGGAGTTTCACCTCCTTCATGGAGCTACTGATGCGGAGAAATCAGCAGCTGGTGGGGGGCACAGCCCGGGCGAATACACAAGTCTGCAGACTCAATACACATCGAGCCAATCCACATGTGAGCGGGGGGGGGGGGGGGGGCATCTGAAGAAGCTGCAGGAGCGTTTGGCTCGCGCACCCTGCAGAACTCCTCCTGAAGGTAAGAAGCAACTCCTGTTGAAATAAACATTTTCCTGCTGTTTCATTTATTTCCCTTTAAAATAATTCTGTTTCTGGATAATTTACCGTTCACACCGATACATGTTTATTTAGTGGTTTTAATTTGAATTATTTGTGCAGCATCTAATGTGACGCTTTCCACTAATAACGTTAGAGCACGTGTCAGAAGTTATTATTATTAATTACGGTATAATAATAATATTATAAATAGTGTTATTGGAGATGAAGCGGTAAAATGATGTTTTCTGTCTCAGTTTAATTTAATTTCAACTCGTTTTTGTTCCTTACATCTTGATTTCAAATGTTCTGCTGATTAAAATAAATCCATCAATAAATAAATGTCAGAGCTCCTCCACTCTGAGGAGACATGGAACCAAAAAGCAGCGAGAACAAACAGGATGTGCACGCTTCATGCACGTGCGCTCATCCAGGATTGTTTTAGTTGATAAAAATTATTCATCTTGAAGATGAATCATGATTTGTGGCTGAGGAGTCTGTTTTGAACGTTGTCACTGTTTTGGAGGAGGCTGCAGGTGGAGGAGGTGGAGGAGGTGACAGGTTTGGGTTAATATAAGGAACACACATTTGAATGTTCCTGGGGGGGTCTTGGATCAATGGTTGATAAGGGAGCGTTGAAGCAGCAGGACTGTGCTTCCGTCTGGGGGAGGTGTCTGCTGGAGAGTTTGGCTCTGAACCAATGGCGGCCCAGCAGCTCCAGCTAAAGGTCACATGGTGTGACCTCACACATTCTCAGCCTCACCAAGGCCCGACGAGAACATGTCTCCAAGATCCAGGAGCCAAGATCCAGGAGCCAAGATCCAGGAGCCAAGATCCAGGAGCCAAGATCCAGGAGCATCCGTCACACGCTGCAGGAAACAAACTTTTACTAAATCACAGAAACTCTTGGAGTCAACGTGTTCACTTCCTGTTCGGCCTCGGGCTTTGATTTGAAAAACAAACTTTAACTCGCGTGTGTGTGTGCGTGGCAGTAGGTGTGTCGGGGAGTTCAGGCCTGCTCAGCGCCGCTGCGTGTTTGTCGAGCATACATGTGCGGCCCGTGTGTGCGTGTTGCTGTGTGAGCTCCTCTCACGGTGGAGCTCGTGCAGTTTGAGGGCTGGAGCGTGTGAAAGCAGATAAGCAGGGCAGGTTTGTGACGCACACACTTCCTGCTCTCTGAAGTTCTATTAAAGATGGATGAAAACAACACACACACACACACACATGATGTTTTCTCTAAATCAATTTCTGCACTGAGCTGCAGAAAAGATCAGTGGCGCCGCTCACGGAGCTGCAGAAGAAAAGATGTGACTTTATGACACGTGAACAGAGTCCGTGTTTTAAAGGTCAGGTGGAGGCTTACCTGCAACGTCCTGAACAAAACCAACTCTCACTGAAGCCGCTTCTTCTTGAAGATGAGATATTTTACTAACACTGCTGCAGAAGCTGTTAACCAGAGTACAATGTCCTAAAGATGGCTGGACTGTCCCTTTAATGGCTGATGCTGTTTTCTCTTGAGCTGCTTGGTCTTGTCACAATTTCAGCTCACAGATTTTTCATTTAAGGACAAATAAACCGTGAAAAACACATCGAGACCATGAATTTCTTGAGTTTTGACTTTAAGACCAAACAAACATGTTTAGTCACTTCAACATGAAACAAAATGTTTAGTCTCTTCAACATGAAACAAAATGTTTAGTCACTTCAACATGAAACAAAATGTTTAGTCTCTTCAACATGAAACTTTGTGTTTTGGATGAAAGTAAAGTTGGAGATGTGGAGAACGTCTCACTCATGCCTCTTCATGTTGCCTCGACAAGCTGCTGCCATTTCAGCTTCGTCGTGTTCAGACACCTCCAGTTTACACAGTCTGCCCCCCCCCCCCCCCCTGTTGTCTTTGGCCTGTCGTCTGCTGGAACGTCTTAATTGACGTTTACCTCAGTTTGCTGCTGCAGCCACCCGGAGTTTGTCTGCAGGTTCCCAGGCTCCACCTGAGCCCCGCTGTTTGTTCTAGTTCTCGTTTCATGGCAGGTCCCACGCAGTGTGCACGTAGCAGTGTGCACGTAGCAGTGTGCACGCCACGGTGCGCTGGGGGTGTGGTGACCAAAGGATGGCGTCCACTTTTATTCTGACAGCCTCGATGAAAGCCTGACCCAGTCAGGACCCGAGCACAGCTGCATGAAGAGACGTGCCAGAGCTCGGAGGATCCTCCAGGATGACTCTCACCTACTACCACACTAAGTGCAGGTGATTTCAAAAGTTGTGTAGTGGTGGAGGTGCAGCCAATGGTTTCATTAAAATCTGCCCAGTGGTTTATGAGATATTTTGCTAACAGACAGGCAGAGGTGATGACAAACTTTTAAAAGTGGATCTCTTCAGATTAGTCTTGGGAGTGAGTGTCAGCTACAAACATGCACGCCAAACTTTGGATCCAGCTGCAAAACTGTCCGAGTTACATGATGCGTTTGCTTAGCTGAGGCGGCCATCTTGAATGATGCTGACTCCAAAAGTTAATCAGTTGAAGATTCAAACTTTGATTCGTCCCTCGATTTATGAGATATTTACATAAAATACCAGGACAAATGAACACACACGCACACATGCACACATGCACACATGCACACGCACATTTCAGCAGCAGGCGACAAAGACCAGCAATGTTTTATAAAAAGTTCCTGCAGAAACTGTGTCAGGTTCAATGTTTGAGTCGACATCACACGCGTGTTCAGGTTCACTCTCAGCCACTACGACACCAAATTTCAGAACAATAAGGAAAAACATTAAATACAATCAATGAGTTATGGTCATTTTTTCTTTAAAGCTGCGGTAGCCATGTTGGATTTTTGATTTGGAGTGATGCGGAACGTTCAGATATAACCTCACTAAATTTCTGCTCTATGTGTAAAAATGGTTGAGATGAAGCCATTTAAATGTAGTTTTGGTGGCCATGTTGGATTTTTATTTTATTCAGTATTTATTGAGCATTGCTCTCATCAAACCAACATTCAGTTTGACATTTCTAAAAAATAACCGATTTACTATTTTTCCTTTTTAGCTCTGGCAACCATCTTGGATTTTTGATTTGCAGTCAGAGACTATTAGGGATTGTTCTTATCTAACACAGTTCACCAAACTTCAGCTGAACAGCTGTAAAAATGGCTGAGTTGTAGCCATTTGAAATTAGGTATGGTGGCCATCTTGGATTTTTATTAAACATTAAGAATGAGGCGCTGCCTTTCTATAAGCACGCCCCAATAATGTTTTATAAAAAACAGCATACGGGGAGTTCAGTATAATCTGGCACAATCCTAATCTGCTCCTGAGACTCAGTGTTTCTTCTGTCCGTCTCTGAGTGGATGTAACTGTGGAAGTCGACAGTGTATTCTCTCATTTTCAGTTCCAGCATCATTTAAAGGAAGCTGAATGTCTGCAGCGTCCCAGCTGTACAAACACGACATCTTTGAGCAAAAACACGAGCAATATTATCAAAAAGCCAAGTAAAGAAAAAGCATCATATTGCACTTTAGTCACCTGACGCCACGTTCATTTTAATTCTGGAGTCAAACAAACAGACTCCTAAACAAAGTCTCAGCTCCTTCATGCCGTGTGTTTATGGAGGAACCGCT